GTTCCAATTCACCGGAGGTGATCACCCTAAACAACTTTGATTTAAAAAACACATATGCTGTCAACAGTGACATTTTTCACAACTTTCAATGACAAACTGATTCTTAATAAGTAGGGTAGTTTCTAGTTTATGAATAAAATCTCAACTTGAAGGGTGGATGGTTATTCATTTAAAGGCATTACTATTATTTAAACACAAATATTGGTACAAGGAGGCACCGAGTACATATGCGCCACATTTCACCATCCGATTTGTGTGGGGGCTTGGATACTGCATGGTTCATGAGAATCATTTAAGCATACTAAGGAGTTTTGAATAGTTGGTAACAAAAGTCAGTTCAGAGTTTCATGGATCACAGTAGGTTTACATCGAGTAGGTTAACAGAACAGATCAGTTGAAATCAAATATAAATAATTGTTAGCCATAAATATAAAGAATTTTCTACAATTTAACGAGCACTTTGTATTGGACTACATTTATACGAATACAGGATAAAAGGCTAGAGTCAATTTAGAAAACATAAAAGAAAATTCAGATGAGCTTAATAAGCAGAAAATGGAGTGGCTACACAAGTCTAGAGTTGTTTTTAAAATTATCTGTGAAAGTTCACCATTCCTGTTTTCTCAGCAGACAGGTTTTGTCACTTCTAAACTAAATGGAATTATTTCATATTTACAAGTTATATGATAGCCAGCTATGATCCTTTCAGTTAATAGTTGAAAGAAATTTTCCATACACTACAACTAATTAGATTTATAAAAACGTTCGGGTACCTGTTGGGTATTTTCATAGTAATAATATGCTGAATACAATGCAATAATAAGTGCAATGCTCTTTTGGCCCTTTCACTGCCATTCAGCCAGATAACCCCAGGTATGGAGATCTTAGTTAACGTAGACCAAAAATGGCTATGTATCTACGACACATTTGTTACAATCGCCACGTTTTAAGGCTAATATTATCTCCTATTTTTACTTTCCTATCTTTCATATATTTTAACATGTATTTCCTGTGTTTTGAGTCTGACAATTTAAAAACCTTTACCCATAATAATGATAATCTCTACCAAAAAGTGACAGAATTCTGGACACAAAATACGTGTTCCGACAAATCCCACTTAAAATTAAGATCTTTTAGTTGCATATTTATGGTAGGGCATATTTGAGAATTCAAATCTCTAAATTCTGATAAATTTTGATGCATCTGTTCCTCATGTAGCCTGGATACAGAAAAGAAGTTGTACCAAATACTATTGCGCAATCGCTAGTTTTTCATGATACATTGTAAGCTTTTGATAAAAGTTTGTAACTGAGTAGTAAAGAAAATATTCTAGGCAATTATAATACATCAAACACAGCATGATACCTTGAAATATTCGACAAATTGAAAATACGGTGACCTAGAGATCGAAGTACGCCACTGTGTCCACTACAGCTGTTATTAGTTATTTGTGCACTGTGGTTAATTGATCTGATACACATTTCTATGAAGACACGTCATTCGAAACTGTACTAGAAATTTTTAGCTTTAAAAAACCAGTCTTCATGAAAAGTATTCATTTAATTACGAAATGCTTTTTTATCTAACCACTAAAATTCTATCAGTATATCGAGTTAATCCAGTTTTGATTACAATGATAGGAGCGCCAATAAACTTAAAAAAATCCTTAATATAAAAAAACTATTAGAAGTTACATTATGTGAATAGGAGACTTAAATTACCATGTATTTCGTCATCATCTACAAAGTCGTTTGTATCTACCTCAGTCAACATTGTTTACAGATTGGAATATAGTATACAATATGTTTTTACATCATATCTTATGGTATTTATAGTATAGTACATGTTGTATACATCTCGAAATATGTGGAACTAATAAGATTTGTGAAAATGTACAAGTTAAAAATGATGATAACAGACTCAAAATCCTCCCTTTCCATGAGGTTTTCAGAAATAAACAAATCCATATCTGGTGTTAAATAATACATTTACCAGTGATTAACTGTAAAGTGTATCATATTTTCATAGCAAGATGTATCATTTGTTGTTCATATCAAAACTTCGTCAAAAAAGCAGAAGCAAGATTCAACGTATTTCTTCTAACATTCAATTTTGCAGAGAGTGATGGCATTGATGGTTCAGCTATTGATTTTTAAACATTTTAAATATTTCCTAATCAAGAAGGAATCTGTGATCACAATTGATTGATCACTGGGTGGTGATCAATGTCATGCGTGTCTAGTCCTTATTAGTGCAGATCGAATGCTATCGACCATGTTGCAATGTGGCCACCAGTCTAGGTGACTCGACACTGCAAGCACTGAGCTATCCGGGCCGCGACCGACCTCCTGTAGTGGTAACGTCTCTGACTAAGAAGCTGGGTGACATGGGATCAAATCCGTCAGGGAGTAACAGTTCCCTCAATATTACAGGTACACCTTGCTGACGAGTGCCAAGTAGCACAAAACATGGATACAGGGTTTCCTGTTGACTACCTCCAACCACTATCTAAGGAATCTGTGAATAGAGAAATTATATATGGCGAAAGCTTCATGTTGTATGATCAAAATCCTAGCTTTAAATCAAACTTATTTATCAATGCCTCAATAAAAATTTCACAATAAGTACTTAACTGTCCCAATCAAAGGGAAAAAAACTTTTGTCAAACGAGACTGTGCCCCATATTTTCAGCGTTTTTTTTTTGTAGAAATTAGACAATTTTAACTGACCTACATGGTCCAGACTTAGAATCGGTCATTGACTATTCACTGCCATGTTATATTGACTATTCTCAAACATTGAGTATATTATACTTGTTCTAAGTAGCATAATAAAAAAAATACACACAATGCAAAAATTGTTCAAAATCCGGTCAGGTTTAGATATAAAGAAATACCTAGAAAGTTATACAGTAGTGATGATTAAAAAAAATATACAGTTGAAAAATGAAACACCTTTCTGTGGAGAAACAATATTATGTATTTCGATAGGCAGAGATTAGATTAATTTGTAAAATTTATGCTTAGTATCTGCATAGTGATGATCATAGTAAACGATAAGAATTGATGGTCATTCCTAATGTGATGACATGTACTTTAGAATGTCAATAAAGTGGATATTGGAAACATCACCCAGTTCAATATTCACTGCAATTTCTACTTAATTTATGAAAAATACTACGAGCTTAAAAGAATACCCGAAAACAACACATTGTTTATTAAAATTCTGGCAGTACTAGAGGTCTTAAAATTGTTAATAAGAATCTTCATAAATCAATTAAATATTTTAAAACTTCTCTAACACAAAAATGATGTTGACAGGGTTTAATATAAACATCCAGAATTTTATCAAACAACAGAGTATTGCAAGATATCTCATAACAAATCAATAACAGTACAAACAGTCAATCAGCTGCAAAGTAGGACCAGGCACATATATGCATCAGTCCAAGTTGCCATACCGCATTAGCATAACAAGATGAACACCAAGTTCATAGAAGTAGTTAATTCAATGGTGGTATTATATAGAAGAAAGATTGCATATGAGGACATAATACGTACAAGAAGAAAGAATTACTTGGTAGAAAGAAAGATATGAAACGATTTTAATCTCTTAGTTTAGAGGAAGACAGACAGTGTATACACCGACGCCATTGTGATCGATTCTGAGCCATGTCACCAAGAGTCTCCAACCATTGGTTACGATAGTCACGCGAACCTCAACCAAGTAGTCTACATTTACCAACAGCGCTAAGACTAGGAGTTAGTGACTTCAAACACTGATGTCACGTTTTGGTTTGGCCGCCCCTAACTTTCTTTCAATTATCCCCAACACCGGTTAGCGTTGCGCGTCGTGGTAATCGGTGTTCAGGCATACGCAACACGTGGCCCAACCATCTCAGTTGATGAAGATTCACAATCTCGTCAACTGACTTACCATCACTCCCTGATACCCCGCGTCTAACCTTACTTTTACTTACACGGTGATCCCAACAAATGCGAGCAATATTTCCAAAATACCTGTGGTCAAATACTAGTAGCTTACGAGTATCTTATACTCTTAAAAGCCATGTTTCGCAGCCGTATAATAGAACGAAAGGAAATGCCGTGCAGTATACTCGTCCTTTTGTTTATAGACGGATATCTCGCCTTCACCATAGATGACGTAAGTTGTCAAAGGCCAAACGAGCTTTTCGAATCCGTGCTGAGATTTCATCAGACACCAACCCATTAAGGCTGACCAGACTTCCAAGATAAGTGAAGTTGTCAACGCGTTCGACTACTTCACTCCCTATCCTTAGTTCAGGTATTGACGAAACCAGTCCTGAAGCAACAACTTGCATTTAGAGGGTGAGAAGCGCATCCCAAACATTCTGGCATTGTTGCTCAATGCTACCAAGAGACTGCATTTCATCAGCGTCTTCACCAAACAGGACTATGTCATCTGCGTATTTTAAGCCAATAAGTGGACCTCCTGGTAGGAGGTCGATGCCTGAGAATTCAGTCGATGAGAGCGTTATTTCCATCAGTAAATCTATGACGAAGCTAAAGGAAAACAGAGAAGTGGACAGCCTTGACGGACACCACTTGAGGTTGCAAAAACAGATGACAGTTCGCCATAAGCTCTCACCCGACTAGTAGTGTTCGAATGAAGAGCCTTCACAAGGTTTATGTACTTCTGAGGTACGCCTTTCAATGACAGACACTGCCACAGAACCTCTCGGTCAACAGAGTCAAATGCTGCTTTTAAGTCAAGAAAGACCACCATTGTCAGACGCCGATAAGTATGCCTGTGTTCTAGAACCTGACGAATGGTGAATATGTGGTCAATGCAGCCACGACCAGGTCTGAAGCCAGCTTGATTCTCTCGTGTTTGCAGTTCACGAGTCTTAGTTAGGCGTCCGATAATTATCGAGGCTAGTATTTCAGATACTAAATTGGTTAAACTAATCCCTCTATGGTTGTCACAGGATGATTTCGACCCCCTTTTATATATTGAGACGATAAGTGATTGTGACCAGTCAGAAGGGATTACGTCCAACTCCCAGATTTTAGCTAAAATATTAGTCAACCTAATCGCTGAAATTGGACCACCATCTTTGAAGACTTCTTGAGCCAATCCGTCTGGACCAGCTGTCCTTTCTCGTTTCAGGTTAACTATAGCCTTTTGAATTCAGCTAGAGTTCGAGGACCTACTTCAATGTTCCATTCACACTGTCTGGGAATGGTGGGTAGGTGTAGAGTAGCTGAAGTCCAGCTGAACTGTTCTCTAAAATGTTCCGCCCACCGTTCTAAGCGTCTGGACTGGGAGCAGATGAGAGTGGAAACAAATACCGAGTATTCACGCTTTTTTTAAAGACTATTTTAATTAAAAATCTCAGATAGTTACCCACATTATTCCTGTTGACAAATTCAGTGAACAAGGAGAGTCCACCTAGAGGAGTTGGTTTATATGGACTGCAGGATCATGGGGAACAAATGACGTATGGACCTATTATTAGTCAACAGCTACCATGAAACTGCACCTCTTAACGTTGCTGAACTGCTTTGTGAATTATACCTTTAGGTCAAAGGTTTCGTGTGTCGCCTACGAAGAAAACCATCTACTTCTGTTTGGCCACCCGAGCAGTATCCCAGCCCCTCAAGCAAATCGAATGATTTATGTGGTGCATATCTATTTACTGCCTTCTTGTACCAATGTTTGTGTTTAAATAAATAAATTAATATATCAACTCATAATATATTTGTAGAAGAAAACCATAAAAGGAAAGATCTTTGGAAATTAATATCCGAAATGTTACATCATTGAAAGAAAAAAAATCAATATTAAATAAATGCACAATCGATCTAATAAAATTGGGGGTTTTGTTGCGACAATAAAAAAAATAAATCAAAAAATATCATAAAGATAAAGAATAAATAACTAAACTACAAGGGACTATAAATTTTGTTCTTTTATTTGAAAGAATAAAAGAAAAGAAAAGCATCAAATCAGATACATATTAAGCTAGTTATTATCTTCTATTCAAGAAGTAGTAAAAGATGCATACATGCATGCAATGAAATAAAAATAATGAGAAATAAACGAGAAAGAAAAAGTAACCTATCAGATAATTATTAAAAAAAAAAAAACACATTTCTAGCATAATTGGGAAAATTATAATTCTCAATAAGGTTATTATTATTATTATTATTATATGGATAGATGGATGAATTTTATAGTAGAGAATAAGAAATTGAGATCTAACATTACCTATGAATTATTTTCTTATAAAATAATTTACCTAATACAAAATTAAAATGAACAGTTTCATATAGGATTGATCAATGAGAGATTGACAATTAGATATAGTAATTTTTTAATGTACATTCACATTCAAGAAAAGAAGAATAAAAAGAAAAGGTAGCCAAACCTAATCCAATTAAATGTTGTCATGGTGTACAAATTATAAAATGCATTATTTTGTAGAGAGAGAAAAATAAGTAAATAATAATAAACTACAATACAAGATGCAAAAATTGTACTGACGTCATTTTAACTACTTGTTTTGATAAATAAGTAGTAAAATTGTATAACAATAAAGATTTCCTAGATAGTTATGTGGTTGCACTTAATACAGCTCGCATTGCTAATGTTTGTAATTGACAGATAGCAACGTAATTTGACGGTAAATCGGAATCTGTTTCATCACGAATTATATCCTCACAATTTGTACTGTTATTATTGGATACAATATGTCCAGAAAAGTGATTATGACAAGGAGATTCTATTAAATGTGAATGTAAAGTGTCTGTAAGAGTTCCGTAAATACGTGAAGAATAACTATCATTGAGATTACTGTGACTATTATTATTATTATTGGCATTAGTAACAGTGTTGTTCATACTGCAACTTTTCTGATTACGACTGGAACCAGTATGTGTATTATCCATGTCGTGAATATTATTATTCCAACGAACAGTATTCATATCGGGATAACTTTCATTCCTGTAATGGGATGTTTCTGGAGTGGTGATACCAAAATCTAATGTCGCATAGTGCAACATACTTGCAGGCTTTTCAAAATTGCTATGACAACCTAAGTTACCTATCCTACATGGAACAGTGGTAGTGGTAGATGTTGTTATTGAGGGAGAAGTAGTAACAGTTACAGTAGTATTAGTAGTACTAAGAGAAATATTACTACTTATTGTTACAGACGATGATGCTACTGATGGTGAGGGTTGATTACGAGCAGTCTGAATAGGTGATTCTTTTGAATATGAACTGCAATATGAAATACGATTTATATTATCCCCTGAAACGGGATGATTTGCAGAAGATGTACATTTGGATGTGAAATCAGTAGGTAAACACGAAACACTAGATGAATGAATACACTTTTGATTTTCTCCGGGTAGCGATGAAGTAATTGTCTGAGAAGTGCACAGACCAGTATACTGGATTTGAGTTAAAGTCTGACACGAAAAATAAAAAAACCTTTTGTGAATAAATAAAACTTTAGAAATATCACTACTTATTTATTAGTTGGACCAAAATATAATTTAACACATTAACACACCAAAGATCCGTGCACACGACTATGAGTCACACTGTTTGTGTGAAAGCCAGAGACTACGTCTCATACTCCTACAACTAGTCCAATCGTCAACAAGCAATGCACGACGTGGAATTCTCTGAGACGACATTCGTAGAACATAATCAAGTCACCGAAGTCGACGTTTCAAGATAGTGACAACAATTGAATTATCGTCGCTGTGCCCGAACACACGATACCGAATCTCTGCATTACTAACATGGTATTGCCACTGGATGTCAGCAATTTTTGGAGACAACAATGAAAACACACAAAAAGTTGTCTAACATCCTCAACTCAGAGAGACCATGTTTCATAAGCACAGAGCGAAACTGCTGAGTGGTTAAGGTAATGGATTGCTAATCCACTGTGGTTTACTCGAGTGGGTTCGAACCCCATCCTCATCGCGCAACACATGTCCCAGCTATCTCAACTGATTAAGTTTCACTACTTCCTCAATTGATTTGCCATCCTTACCTAGTACTCGTTTCATAACAACTGCATTACTTACTCAGTGGTCCCAGGATATACGAGCGATGTTTCGAAGACATTTATGATGGAATACTAGTAACCTACGGATATCCTCTACTCTTACTGGCCATGTTTCATTGCCATAAAGTAGGACGGAACGAACTGCTGCGCAGCAAACACGTCCTTTGGTTGATAGACGGATATCTCGCCTACGCCACAAATGACGCAAGTTGGCAAAAGCTAGTCGAACCTTTTGTATCCGTGCTGAGATTTCGTCACACACCAGGCCACAAGGGCTGATGAGACTTCCAAGATAAGTGAAGCGGTCGACACGCTCAACTACTTCACTCCCAATCACCAGTTCGGGTGTCGACGCAACCCAATCCTGAAGAAACATTTTGCATTTCGAGGGAGAAAATCGCATGCCGAACATGCTTGCATTGTTGCTTAGAGTGGTCAGAAGACTCTGCATTCTGTCAGCGTCTTCATTAAATAGAACTATGTCATCGGCATATTCTAAGTCAACAAGTGAATCTCCCGGTAGAAGTTCAACTCCTAGAAATCTAGATGAGGAAAGTGTCATCTCTAAAAGGACGTCAACGACAAAGTTAAACAAGAATGGAGAGAGTGAACAGCCCTGACGAACACCACTTGAAGTAATCAGTTCTGATGACACTTCACCATAAGCTCTCACTCGACCAGTTGTGTTCGAGTAGAGAGCCTTTATAAGGTTAATGTACTTCTTTGGTACTCCTTTCAGTGACAAACACTGCCATAGAACCTCATGATCAACCGAGTCAAATGCCGCCTTAAGGTCAAGAAATACTACCATTGTGGGGCGTCTGAATGTGTGTCTATGTTCTAGGATCTGACGTAGTGTGAATATCTGGTCTATACAACTACGTCCAAATCGAAAACCAGCCTGGTTTTCTCTAGTCTGCTCTTCCCGAGCTTTGGTTAGACGTTGAAGTAATATTAAAGCTAATATTTTAGACACTATATTAGTCGAACTATTTCCTCTGTGATTGTCACAAGAGGACTTTTATCCCTTCTTAAAGACTGGCACAATCACTGATTGAGACCAGTCAGATGAGATTACGTCCAGTTCCCAGATTCTACCTAGGACCTCAGTCAATCTCGCTGCTAATACTGGACCGCCATCCTTAAAAATCTCTGGGGTAAACCTGTCAGAGCCTGCTTCCCTCCCACACTTCAGATTTCCTATAGATTTTTCAACTTCGTAAAGAGTCGGAGGACTTACATTAACTTGCCATTCAGGTAGACTAGAGATCGTGGGAAACCAAAGAGTGGCTGACAGGCAGTTGAACTGATCCAGAAAGTGTTCTGCCTATAGATCCGATCTCCTGGATTGAGAACGAATAATACGTTCATGTTTTTCAGAGATAGTTTCGCTAACAGTTGGATTCCTAATACCGGTTTCTCTAACAAGTCTGAACAGTTGTCTGCTGTTACCTATTGCCGCTGCCTTTTCCATCTCTCTTGCTAACATTTGGCGGAGTGTGAATATATGATCAATACATTCTCGACCAGAACGACAACCAACCTGCTCCACGCGAGTCAATCTATCTCGTGTTTTGAACAATCTACGAAGTATGACGGAAGCCGATAGTTTGGACGCAATCAGAAGCACATTTATCCTCTAATAAGTTGTTGCAGAAACGACGTGAATCTTATTTAAAAATAGGAACAACTATCAACTCATTCCACGATGTTGAAACACTTCAATTGTGCAAAACTTAGTTCCTTAACCAGAAGATTTATGGTGATAAAAATTCTATCCTATAATTTTGAGTAGTGAAGAGTCAATAGACAACGTAACACTGTAATTTGTAAAGATCTTCCAAACAACTACTGAATGTACTATTAAAACGAATTAATGATCCATATTTGGACAGATTACTTAGGGAGGTTAGAGAAACAATTAGATGATTCTACATCATAAAAATGATAGGAACTATTTTGTGCAAGCAGAGAATAGTTGACGTTAGCTGTTAAAAACAGAAGGACCTCCATTACATTGACCACAGAATAACCAACTACAACTGATAAAAATATAGACATAAGTAGTTATTGTATTCAATTGCTTCTCTGTTTACTGCCAATTTATCAATCCAACAATTCATCAAGGAATATTCCATATTTCTAGTCGTGTACGAAAAATCTATCTTATCTATTCTTTTAAAGCCATTCATGTTATTTAGCATACAATATACTTGGTTAGTTTTCACTGGTACGTATGCTCGAAACATTGAATGCGTTTGATAGAGTAAATGAAAATCGATCTAAGCTGTAATACATCTTGCAAGATTTCAGGTTCGGATACTGTAACACTAAAATTAGAACCTTCGGATGATGTAATTGAAAATCAACTGACTGATGTAGGTCAAATAATTATTTATTCTCTACTAAATGTTTTACGAAGTTATTTATTACATCTAAACTGTTTATTTTTCCATCGTTATGGGTATTGTCATTTTCACCCCTTTTTTCTCCTCTTTCCGTGGTTTGACATGGGCTGGAGCAATTCGCCTGAAACACATATGTATTAGGCTTTTTCCATCTGCCTTGGAATATCATATATTGAAATTAATTTAAGTAATTCACAAGTTGACACTTAGAAATCTTGACTTCAATTAGGTAGATATTATATAAAGGTTTGAATAGAACTGAAATGTACTTACCTGAGGACTTGTCGATAAATTATAATACGGTGAATACTCAGTAATCATATCTAGCATATCAGCATTCTTTCTGTCTGAAGAGTTACTAAGATTACGATGTATCTTACATAAATAATCAGATGGAATCTTTTTATTTACACGAAATGGCATATTTTCTTGTCGACTATGATTAGCACCAGTGTTAGCATAACTATGTTCACGACGGCTAATACCATCAGCAATGATAACAGTATTACTACATGTATTTGGATTTGGTAGACTAGCATGCCTTGAATGTAAATAGATTTTGGATGACGTTGATATTGATGGCAATCTTGGTAGAATTAATGTTTGAGATTTGTTTCTAAACTTTCTCATTACATCATGTTCTTTCGAGTTATTAAAACTATTATTATCATTATCACAATTAGTAGTTGTTGTTGTAGAATTGTTTGATATAATTGAACTAGGTTTATCGATCATTTCTGGTAGATTTACATCCGATGACAATGATTTTTTCAACAGAACAGGTGGATTGTTACAAGCATTGATATGTGCTAATTTTTGTTCTCCAAAAGATGGTGTTGAATCACCTCTTTCTACTACCAATACTACAGGATCAACCCCCTCAACCTGTGTTTGTCCATCTACATTCATCTTTTTATCAATTTCTGCTACATTGTTATTATTATTACTACTATCACTGTATTCGTTAGATAGTTGATAAGGGAAACAAACTGTGGGTGTTGTTGGCGTTGTTATTGATGGTAATGAACGCCTTACTGTACTACAACAGCAATTATCGTTATCATTATTAGAAGTAGTATCATTAGTCCCATTATTGACAGCAATTAAATTATCATAAATTCGTTGATAACATACACTTTGTCCTTGTATGATATCACAATAAGATGAGTTGTTATATAAAGGTGGTAGAGGTGCTTCAGGTAGATTAGATATTTCATCATCTTCATCAACTTTAACAATACACTCATCAATATCAACAACTGGATCATTCTTTGTGTCTTTATCAAGACAATGTGAATGATGATTATTTGATCGATGAACAGAAAAATAATTACCACCACTACGTTGACAATATCCTCTAGTGACATGATGACATTGATGATCAATATTGCTCCTAGTAGTTGTAGTATCATCATGACAGTTAATTGGATTAATTGATGCAATATCAGTTAATTGTGGACAAGAATATTTAAAACTATGTTGCAGTCTATTACAATGATCATTGTTTGTGTGATTATTATTATTATTATTATTATTATTATTATTATTATTATCGTGTTGATTATTTTCATTATTACTAAAATCATTTGATGAGTTCTGTAGTCGAAGCCAATGTAAACAATTTGATGATACTCGATCGTGATGTTCTTGTTTTTGTTGAATCTTATTATTATTATTCATCAACTTTATAGTTTGATTTTGAAGTAGATCAATTTCTGTATCATCAAATGAAAAAGCCAAATTATTACGTTCTGATAAAATTGGAGGATATGATCGATTATAATGTTGAAATGTATCATGATTATCAGTTATATTATGATGATCATTTCGTCCATTGAATAGATTTCGATTTATTTTTTCATTGACCGAATCATGTAATATAGGTGTAGTACTCAAAGATATTGATGATTGTTTATGAAAGATTTTGTTAAATGGCATAATTAATGATAGTTTTCCATTATTATTACTTCGTAGTAATGAACGACTTTCAGAAATAGCTGTTGGTAAATGATGAACGGATAGATTATCTCTATGTTGATGAACACATGTCTGTTTGACGAATGTATAACCAAAAGAAAAAACAGTAAACAAATATTAATATCAGATGGGTTTTGTGGATATTATAGTAATTTCAATGGTTAAGATCATGAGTCAGTTGAAGCTAGACCACCATGGAAAACCTGGAAGCACTGGACGGCCGTTTCGCCGGCTCAGTGGTCTAGCGTTTAAATGCTCGAGCGCGGAACCAGTAGGTCCTGGGTGCGCATTGCTGAGGAGTCTCACAACAGAACGAAACGGTCGTCCAGTGCTTTCAGGTTTTCCATGGTAGTCTAGCTTCAACTGACTCATGATCTTAACCATTGAAATATTAATACTTCAATATCTAATAAACATGAAAATTACATTTCAACACAAATTTTTTAGTGAAATAACTTTATTAGGTAACAATGAAAAGGGATTAGTGTAGCCCACCAGCAAGTGTTGTGGTGGTTAATAGTTAAGACGTTAGAATTTCAACAAACTAGGCCCAAGATTCGAACTCTAGTCCACCGACTCCGGTTCGGGTAACCGAGAAGTATCATTAATACTTACATTTAGTGTGTGACTCATACCCAAATACCCGGTGAATGTGTTAATTTATTATTTAGCCAGCAATCCCTAGAAGAATAGGTTTTGAATGTCTACTGCTTTAAACATATAACAATAAACATGTGAAAATAATGTGGTCTACAGAAGAATTGTTAATCGTTGGTTCTAAAGTCGATCAATCAACTACAACTTAGAACCTAGTACTTATACCTATATACATCAGTTCAAGTTGCCATACTCCATTAGCGCAGATAAGGTTATCAAACCACATACCGCAATAGTAGAGGTAGTAACAGTATCAGTAGTAATAGTAAAGATTAGATGTCCAAAATGCAATTCAGAAAGAAAATATAAATTAGTTAAACAAAAAAATGTTATGAGGAATTTAAAAATTTTGAGAATGCAATGAATGGATGCACGTGCGCAATTGCAAATGATGTTGAGTCATGTCATTCAAAGTCTCTAACCAGTGGTTACAATAATTACATGGACCACAGGGTGGATATTATTCTCATGGTTAACTAACTACTTCTCTACTTGTTCCTGAAATATATTCTTAAATTTTTCATTATTAAGTTGAACTCTAATTGGTTTTAGCTGTGGCTTTTCTACGTCCGGTAAGACACAAATAAATATGTGCTCGAACAAGAGCATGACCTAAGTCTAAACAAGTACTTCAGAATGAGCCATTATCTGCTCGCTGAGCTGCAATACCGTACGATCCGCCTGAATGCCTCTCGGTTCTATTTAGTTTGCCTATTTGAGCGTTAAAATTACCCGACACTACAACTACATGAGCGTTTAGCTTCATCCGAACTGAAATCAGTGAGAGCGTAGGCAGAGACAACAAAGAGGCAACAATGTAATTCCCTATCCATTCTATTTTTATGGAAACCCTGTATAAGATTCAAGAAAGGAAGAACAAGAACATAGCAATTAACAACAGCCGAATACGAACAGAGAAAGTCAAGACACAAGCTCAGCACACAGAAGCAAACAAGCAAGTGAAGAAGAGCATTAGAGCTGACAAGCAGAAATACGAGGAAGAACTAGCAACAACAGCAGAACAAGCTGCAAGAGAAGAAAATATGAAACAACTGTATGATACAACGAACAAGCTAGCAGGGAAGCAGGCCAATGACTGAAATTCAAGAACAGAGGAACAGATGGGTAGAGTATTTTGAGGAACTCTTGGATGGACTAGCTCCATTCAACCCACCGGATATAGAAATAGCGCTTACAGAACCCCATCTACAGTCAATCCACCAACGATCGAAGAAATCAGTATGGCCAACAGATAAATCAATAGTGGGAAAGCAGCAGCACCTGACAACATACCAGCTGAAGTACTGAAGTCAGGCATGGAAGTAACTGCAAAGATGCTTCACATCCTATTCTGAAAGATTTGGGAGGACGAACAAGTGCCGACAGAATGGAAAGATGTACACCTCATCAGGATACCAAAGAAAGGAGATGTCAGTTAGTGTGAGAACTACAGAGGCATCACACTACTGTCAGTAACAGGAAATGTTTCTAACAGTGTTGCTGAACCGGATACAAGGCGCAATAGACGCCCAACTACGAGATCAACAGGTCGAATTCCGTAAGGATCAGTCGTACACTAACCGAATCGCAGCACTACGGATCATCGTTCAACAATGCATTGAATAGAATCTGTCACTATACATCAACTTCATTGACTATGATGAAGCGTTTGACGGTGTGGATAGGAGAACATTATGGAACCTACTTTGACTTTATGGTGTGCCTGGGAAAATCGTCAACATTATTCGGAATTCAAACGATGGCGTACGCTGAGAAGTAGTGCATGGAGGACAGCTGCATTCCAAGTAAGGTCCAGAGTCAGACAAAGCTGTCATGGAAGAACCACCAAGAATAATTATTCCAGATAGTAAGCTTTAGTTGGGCTATTACGAAAACTAAACTCGACTATCGCTTAAAAGCAGTAAATATGGTAGAAAATCACACGAATTACAGTATCATCTATGATACGCTATTGACCTTCAGGTTAAATTCTCATAACTGCTGATTGGAGATTATTCATTATTAAATTTCATGATAAGATGTAGTAGCTAGCCACGAAAATAAGAAAATTTAACTCCCGATCTTTAATAAATAATGTCCTACTAGCCATATCCAACAAACTAATCGATTTTTTGAAAAATGTCTAAACGATACATATATATACCTCTTTCTTTCTATCTTTCTTTCTGTTTTCCCATCATCTTATCGATACCATCATGTGAGTCAGTGAAAAATAATAATAAAGTTCACTTCAGAGATGGTTATTTATTTGAATTAAAAATAAGACTAGACATAATGCGCAAGATGCATGAATAGATGAATGGGTAATTTGTTTATGAAAAGAGGCATGTAAATTAGTGTAATGACAAAAAGTAATTAACTAATAAAACTTTACACAAGTTATAAATCTTCTTTCTCATTTTCATACCCTACATAAAATAGCAATAGTTATTTAAAAATAAATATCCTGACGATTTCACTACAGAGTAACTGATTATTTTTAAATGGCATAGATTTGTCCAATGATATATCGGATGAAATTATAATGTTTATTACCCTCTTTCCCCCCCCCCGAATTGTAAAGTTATTCGACAATTTTTCATGAACACATAAATTCAGTTTGGTGATATGAATCCAAATAGCTCCAATCATATACAACAGATTTAATATTAACTTATAACTAATGGTCACAAATAAAGTGACGAAATTCCTCATTATGTGTACGTTAAATGAAGGAGATTAAAATTGAGAAGTACAGAGACTATGACGAATGTAAAGCACTAATAAGAATAGCGATTTTCGGTTTTTATAGAAAGTTCAAATGGCAATCCTGCATAAAATTCATCATTATAAGTAGTTTTGTTTAGGATACTTTTACTGAGTTATAAAATTACTTAGGATCTTTAAGAAAAAGTTTTTTGTAGAAACATATAGTCAAAGTGACATGGATTTAAAAGCAAATTTATGTGTAAAGCTTTTTTTTCAATGAGGATTTCTTCATTCGATTTATGTGAGGGCTGAGATAGTGTATGGGTGCCAAAACCGAACCACGTTGTTTTCTTAGGGGGCCATACCCAATGCCTTTTACCCAAAGGTCTGATCCACAAGGCAGTAAAGCGACCTAAGGAGATGTAGTGCCATGGTAGCAGGTGACCAACAATAGGATCATACGCCATTTCTTCCATAAAGATACTGGAACCTAAGTACACCATTGGTTTAGAATCAGGGTTTTCCAACTCCCCTAGATGGATCTTCAGTATCCACCATCCCGGTTAAAGCGTCAGACATTTGCTTTTCGTCCTCTCAACTTCATAAACAATACAAATGCCGCGAGAAGGTAGTGAGTAGGACTTCTCTGGCAGTGGTTGTATGCACGTGGCCATTTCGAGAGGGAGAGCTGACTCTCCCCACTCTCGGCCGTACTAGGGCATTTGTGGATTATGAGATTATAGTTTTAATTTGTCAACTTTTTTCATATAATCTGCGTAAAAATATTGTGAAAGTCTCATGAAATATCTTATGACATGGTAAATAACCAAAATATACTACTGATGATCTATTGAATGGATAATAGCACTTAACTAAGACAATCTAAGTAATAATGATGAAAATCAATGATAGAAATATTAGAAAATTCAATTATGTTAGTAATAGCAGTAGAACAACTATTTCAATATGTAGCATCTACATTAAATCTAAAGAAAATTAAACAATTAATTGGTAGTATTCATGTATTACATAGTATTCACAGTGATACATTGTATACTCCACTCCATCCCCACTCCCTATTAAATCAATCAATGCAAGACCATCTTGATTCTAACATTTATCCTTGCACCTCCCTCCTTTTATCGTAGAATAAATGAGCTGACTAAATGTTTTAAATAAATAATATACTTGTAATATCCCAATGCTTAATTTATTCGAAATTATCAAATCAAACCTTGGTAATGACTAAATGTTTTAACACATTGTTTACTTCTGTTTTTCATTCCTTTCATCATTTAGCTTATTTATTTTATGTATAATTAAACTGATTATTTACATACTACTTATAATTAAATGATTTCTTTTTTTTTGTTTATTATTATTTATTTTCGGAATATTTGACCTATATTCTATATATCGAAAGATCTTCTTTTTTCATATTAACATGCTACTTATTATTATTATTCTTACAATCATGATGAGAAGAGTTTTTGAAAACAATATAATTCGCTTATAATGTGCCCCATTGTAAAAAAAGGTGAATAAACATTTTTTCTTCCCATTTCGTTTGGAATTCTATTTGTTGAATAACAAGTAACAACAATTAACTACTAGTTTTAATTAAAGTTAATAAAGGAGAAATTAATTTCAATATTAATTGCATCAACTTGACAATTACTAACTAACCAATGTATAGTTGATGGTATTTCAACTATTTTGTGAACTTAAATATTAACTTCCATGTACTTTATTTATTTATTTGAACATATAAATATTGGTACAAACGAGCGTGGGATACATATGCACAACACAAGCCACTTGATTTGTGTGTGGGCTGTGATACTGTCCGGGTGCCAAAACCGAACCACGTGGTTTTCTTAGGAGCCCATCCCCCGAACCCTTGATCTAAAGGTCTAATCCACAAGGTAGTGGAACAACGTCACGAGATTCAGTCCCATAGTAGCCAGGGTTTCCCAACTGCTCTAGGTGGATCCTCAGTATCCACCAAACCGGTCGCAAGAAGGTAGTCAGTAGGACTTCCTTAGCAATGGCTGTATACGGGTGGTCATGTGAGAGCATTTCGAGAGGGAAAGCTGACTCTCCTTATCCTCGACCGTACCAGGGCATTTAGGGGTCAAGTACAATAATCGGTGATAAAGATATACATTCATAATCACACTCAACACTGGAGCTAAGTACATATTGTACTTATAGCTAACATCAGTGATAAATATTCTCGACTTGAAGCAAACAGGAGTTTTACAAAAGTACAAGTAAGTGTTTTTGCTTATAAACCCTTGTACATCTATTACAATTCATTTTATATGAGTATCATGACAGAGTTAATCAACTTAACAGTAATAATCGCTTTATTCAATATTATTATACGAAAAATTTGATTACACAATATTTTAATAGTTGGGAATGGAATAAAGAATCTGTGTTAAGTGAATGGTATTTATAGTTCAATGAGGATCATTATTCTTTTATTCCTTGTATCAGTAGTACCAATAATCAAAGCACATTATAAACAAGATCATGGATCATAATGGGATATTTAGTCAAGAGGTCAATAGAGATAGAATAATTTGACCTTGAATATACTAAAAACAGAAAATTTAAGGGTTCATAATCAATTACCTACATGATGTATCTATTAAATCGTGTTTAGCAATCTACTCTTTATATTTTATACAGACATATATTTATAAAACAAATAAAAAGGGTCAGATTGAAAGTCGCTATTAATTACAAACAGATATGAATATCTAATAATATTCATTGTTAAGTGTATATTATAATCTAGTAATCATAACAACTATGGAAAAAAGGAGAATCGATTAGATAAAAGTAAATCACACTCTGATGTTGTGATTGGTTTCTTTCTTATCTAGATATGAATCACATTATCCCGTGGATAAAATAAAGTATTGAAAACAATAGTGGTAATGTAGTCATTATAAATGATAGTCTAAAACTTTGTGTATGTGTTCACGTACGTATATGTTACATAATGAAATATTAGTCCACTCGCATTGTCTAGTTGCATTGAAAAACACTTAGGAAACGTATAATATTAAAACAGAGCAAAGTGAAATAACTTACACTACTGAAGGAACTATAATTCTACATTGACAGTCTTCTACGAGAATATGAAAACATATCAATTTACAAAACAATAAAAAAATCGAATACAGTGGAAAATTGTATATTTCAAACTAACAGAAGTTCATCACAGGCATCCATAATCACAATTGATTGATCACTGGGTGACCAATGTCATGCGTGTCTAGTCCTTATTATTAGTGCAGATCGAATACTGTCGATCATGTTGCAATGTGGTCACCAGTCTAGGTGACTCGACACGCATGACATTGGTCACCCAGTGATCAATCAATTGTGATTACATCTCAGTCCTACAGGAGGTCGGTCGCGGCCCGGATAGCTCAGTGGTAACGTCTCTGACTGTGAAGCTGGGTGACACGGGATCGAATCCGCCAGGGAGCAACAGTTCCCTCGAAGATTACAGGTACACCTTGCTGACGAGTGCCAAGTAGCACGAAACCCGGGTCCAGGGTTTCCTGTCGACTACCTCCAATCACCATCTAAGGCATCCATAATATTTAACACTGTTTATCTAAAAAAAATGAATTATTCACTTATTTGACTAGTATCAGCTAGGAACAAAAGCATTTCTAGACAATCCATAGTTCACCAATAGTTTAGAGTTGATCATTATAGGGTATCAAAAAATGATAACCAGATATAACAATAAGCTCAACTCTAACATCAAACTTTAAGAGATGACTATCAATAGTACATGACACAAAACCTTGTTGTGTGGTCATAATTCTCAGAGAAAGTATGTAAAACCATTGAATGGAAAGTTACATTTAGAACGGCAAATGAAAAAAAAAGTAGGTTAGTTGGTAAATTGCATTAATTTCAACGAAACATTACAGACTGGAATGGTGGCTTACTTAGTAAGTAACGTCTGAAGATACATCAATACTAGTAATTTTTTTCCTTTATTCATGTGTGCTTCTTTAATATACATTGAGTCAATTAAACAGAAATTAAAAAGTAGGATGAAAGGAAGACATTAAATCATCATTTACATCTTTATCTTCTCAGTAATAAAAGCATTTAAATGAGATTAAATCCAATGCCGTTAAAACTGTTGGAACTCTAAAACTTGATAAAGAATCACTATAGGTCAATCATCAATATTTATACAGAAATTTAGAACTTTTTATGATATCCTCCACGTTAGTAGGTCAAGTAAGGAGGGCAATAGTCTCAGTGTAATCTCATATTCGTTCACAAATAGATAAATAGATCATCTGACATATAAATAGACTACTGGGTTCAAATCAAATTGTATAACTCACTAAATGTAAACTCGACTCAAAGCTAAACTGTATACGAAAACCAGGAACACTACACAGTCAAACAGAATCAGGAAATATATTTGGACTTTCAACTCGAATAGGTGAAACCGTGAATGATTTAATAATAAATTAATAATAGCTGAAATCATGAGTCAATTGAAGCTAGATCACTATGGGAAACCTGAAAGCACTGGACAGTCGTTTCGTCCTAGTATGGAACTCCTCAGTAGTGCCCATCCACAAACCCCCTTCTGTTAATAAATTAAGTTATCCTTACTTAACAAATATCTATGACAAAACTAGCATAAAGATTTCATTTTAAAAAATACACATGACATAAACCAAAAATATAATTTGTACATATTAAAAGTTAGTTAAATGTAAATCGATTTTTGTTGGTTAACACAAACATGGGATAAAAAATGGAACGGTGAAATCATGTCTACCTCACCTCACAACCACCACCCCAAAAAAGAGTGGTATAGTTTGTTCAATAAGAATGATTTACTGTTCTAATCATTCAACCAACCTACAAAGCTTAAAGTAGTATTTTAAAACTGTAATGTATTATGATAGAAATTATTTTTAGCTTAGCTTAAATGGAAATAGTGTGTGTTTATATATGTATATGATTGTTTTTAGTTATTTAACGAAAATGTATGTCTGTTTGTATCTATGTAACTAATTTATCCCATACCTTTAAAAGAATAAAAAAATACGAGACAAATCCTCTTATTTTCCAGTTTCGGTTTTCGAGTATCGATCCCCTAGTAATGATGATGACGTCGCAATGATATACAATGATATATATATATATATATATATATATATATATATAGCAAATTGAGGAAGCTCTACCGATTATCTTTGACGTAAAGACGTTTCATAAGGTGATATTTGATCGGCAATTCGATACGTCTTGCTAGTTGAACGCTAGATTTGTTCCTATGCTCTTCTAGTAACCCCCTGGCTAGATTTACACAGAGGTGTAAACACGAGAGAAAAGGCGCGAAATATGTAAGAAACACTTTACTCCAAAGGTTCGTTTTTGTAAAGAAAATGTAGGGTTTTTATAGTATTTTAGATGTCCTTGGGTTTCCCGAAAATTCTGGGATGCTACTACTAAACATAGTAGCAGTATAAGTAATCATCCAATCAGAAACTCTACATGTGGCTTTTCACTTTCTTCATGTTTCTGGCAAAACGACTAGTGAACGCTGATTGGACAAGAGGCTTCTCAGTGTTTCCAGAGACTTTCTTGGTTTTTTTTCGAGGAGTTTTCTGGATCTCCCTAACACAATTCACTCTTACGCTTAGTAGCCTTCAATGAACAGAGATATTGACGACAAATCTCATAACCGTTCATCTTGCCTTCAAATTGTTAAAACCCCCTCGAAATGTGAATCCAAGCAATGGCTCAAGCCTGTTAGACCCTGTGGGAGACTTCATACAGATTTTCCTGGTTCAGTTCTCGGAAAAATGTTACTAAATATTTTGGATGCATTTGCAATGTGACCGAAAAAATATATTGTGCTAAACTGTACAGCCGAACAAAAAATTAAAAAGTTGTCTTGTTTGTTTGACAGTGAAAACAACTCTGTGATGTGAATGGAATAACTCAAGCTCTCCACCCTATCATCCTCAATCTAACGGATAAATTGAACGCTTTGTGGACATATTCAAGAAAGTACTGAATAAAGGGAGAGACGAAGGGACGTCTAGTCAATCAATCACTATGTTCTCAACCTCTTACAGAACAAACTCCAACTACGGGTTCCACGCGTTTGACTCCCGACCAGCATATACTACATCAACCGTCATGTAGTAGAGGACATAACACGCTTAAAATTAATATCGGTACGTTTCCTAAATAATTCAGTTATATTTGTTAGTCAAATAAACTTGACCTAGTGATATTGTAGATTGTATGCATACATTAAATTACTGGTCGATCAATATCAAGCAGTGCCCCAGTTGAATTGTATTTGAATTGGACTACCAGCTAGGTAATCAAATGATATATCTCACCGATTTTCTACGTAATTTTAGTCAGTTATGAATCAACGGTTGGTGCATAACAAACTATTTATCTGCAGTCTGACTGTTTTTCTATGAGTCGAGCAGTGTCAATCTTTGTTTCAGTTATATATTAGGAAATGACGGTTGTGTCTGCAATAATAGGAAATATCTGTACTAGTATTCCATCAAATTATCACATGCTTAAAATTAATTTTCCAAAGTTATGGTTTTTTTCATTCAATGAAAACATAAAAATAAACTTTAATAATAAGGAACCCTGAAACTAACCTCGAATGACTTTCTGAATTCTCGTAAATGTTTGATACGAAATAAGTACAGTCCTTCACCGCGTGGAGCCCGTCTACCTGTTTCCACTTTAAATAAACTATTGCCATAGAAGCCAAAACGACGTAAAGTGACTAACGGCCATGACAATCTTAAAGGTGGTGGTGGAAGACGAGGTTTGACATCTTCCGGGTACCTACAAAAGTAACCAATTTTGAAGTGTCAGATACCACTGGTTGATGTTTATCAATAACCAAAAAAATTTAATCTTGTCTGCAGTAAATAGCACTGGAGAGAATGTAATTAATATCATAAATTCAGTCTCATTTGGTTTTCACGTTATTTTGCATTCAACAAAATGTACAAATAGAACTTTGATTGAATTGATGCGCCCAAAAACATTCTACTAAAATAAGAAACACTACAATAGAATTGACAATTTTTATCGAGACAAGTGCGGTAAGATGCCACACGAAGAACTAGGGAGGAGACTTATGGCCACCACTACATAGTATCGTTAAACGGTATATGACAACAATGAGAACTAAAACTTTGGAGTTATTTCAGAAGCGACAAATAGGCCTAAATCATTAATTGGGGAAGATGTTAAGCAACCGCGCAACACCCAAGGTCTTGGGTCCGAGTCCCACGGGTGGAATCTATGATGTATACTGCTGAAGCATCCCGTACTAGGACAACTAACGTTTTCTCCTTGATGGTTTTGAATATTACCCTGAAGACGTCCGCACAAGTTAGCTGGACGAAACGTTAGAATTATGTAAATTTCAATCGCTGAGGTTATTTCAAATATAATTTTTATTTATAATGACTTCTCTATACTCGGCGCCCAATTTCTGTAAAACTATTCGTTCAAATCTTGATGAAGATTCATATAAAAGCTCAATTCGTAACACATGTAGATGTCATATATGTATTGATAGGAGACTTACCAAGAAACATATAACAATAAAAATAGAAACATTTGGCTTAATATTGTATATGAAAGGACGTTAAAATATGAGCTACATTTGATAAATTTAAAAACTCAGAGACAATATGAATTGATTTTTTTTAAAATCAAAACGCTACTGCAGAGATCCGGTCTACAATAATTTTATTTATTTATTTGAACACATAGACATTGGTACAAGGAAGCACCAATTAGATATGCGCCACATAAATCATTCGATATTTGTGAGGGCTAGGATACTGTGCGGGTGCCAAAACCGAACCACGTGGTTTTCTTAGGAGCCCATCCCCTGAACCCTTGATCTAAAGGTCTAATCCACAAGGTAGTGGAACAACGTCACGAGATCCAGTCCCATAGTAGCCAGGGTTTCCCAACTGCTCTAGGTGGATCCTCAGTATCCACCAAACCGGTCGCAAGAAGGTAGTCAGTAGGACTTCCTTAGCAATGGCTGTATACGGGTGGTCATGTGAGAGCATTTCGAGAGGGAAAGCTGACTCTCCTTACCCTCGACCGTACCAGGACATTTGGGGGCGGTTTATAATAAAACAAAAATTTATTAAAAATAAATGAATAAATATGTAAATCCCAATTGTTTCTTACGTTATAAAAAATTTAAGTTGAACAATGAAAAACACTGTCGAGTATTAAACTCTGTTGTTGATGTCGAGATAATTATGATTCAATTTTTTTTAAAAAACTAGGTTGATAAAAGGTTAAGACTATGCTATTCATTAGATACTGCTGTTAACACGGTCCTTAGATTATTTACTTAATGTTCACTGAAGTGTAAGATGTACATGATTTTAGCAACTTTGACCTTCACTTTTTTTAATAAAATAAAGTAAATAGACTAATTTATAATTATTATCCTTATGGATAAGTTCTTGTGTATTCGTGATACCGCCTATTAAACCACTATATATATAATGGTGTTGCTAGATGACAAAATAGAACCATCTATAACTGGATGAAATAGCACAACAGTTCCAGTTATCTACCTGTTACGGATAGTCTACAGATAGAGAAAAGCGGTAGGAGAGACAAACAATAAAAGTGAATGTTACGAAACTCATGAGAATACGAAATATAAACAAATTGAAATAAGATAAAATGGAAAATATTTAGATGAGAAATACAAGTGCATTTCTCGTGGTGATCAAAAATCAACTATAAGCAAGTAAACCTTTCTTACAAAGACTTTATAAATTAGTAATACATCTTAATCTGAAAAATGACAATTTCACCAGCCTGTTTTCACTGGGGCCAACAGTATTTAGAAAAGCAGATGATAAATTAAAATGACCGGGATTTACTTCGCATATTTCTTTCTTAATAGGCGTATTCATAGGACTTGATTTTCGACCTGATGATAAACAGATGACGAATATCAAACATCTTGATATTTTAGGCTTTTCGTCCAACAAGTCTAATATCTTCTATGAACTATGGGTTGTTTCAAAAAACATTTTGCAAATTCAGACATGAATTGATGACAATGATAATGTTATGATGTCTCTTTTGTTTATTATTGATTTATTTGAACACATAAATATTGGTACAAAGGGACACAAAATACATGTGCGCCACAATGAGAATGAGAAGAGATAGAGAATGCAAAGTGCGTATAAGAAAAAGGAGAGCAATAACGAACAAAAATTAGTGTATGATAGTATAATAATAATAATAATAATAATAATAATAATAATAATAATAATGGGAGAGGTAGTTCAGTTAGCAAGGGTACATCCAGAAAGAATTCTTCCAATCAAAGAAGTTACGTCCATTTTTATGAAGTAAAAGAAAGTGTTACATAGAACTTAGATTCCTTGATATACCATGTTCAACTTGAGTACTCGAACGCTAGAACCCTCCAAGTAGCAAATGAGAAGACAAAAGACGAATGAGAAGGAATGCTATTCCAAACAGTGTCAAATATGGTGCAAAAGCGAAATCATCATTGCAGTCATTAGATCTGGATACAGTGGTTTTTAAGCTTTTGCCCGATAAGGAAACTACCCATCGAGATTCTGGAATGTTCTTCCAAAAAATGATTGAGTGGAATGACTCCGGCTCTTTCTGAGAGTCTTAGAGCTTCCCTGAGTTCACCCATGGGGCGTCCTCACAGAAAGTTACAGCAGGATCGCCACTGGCTTCTATTCTGAGCCATACCTGATAACGTCTCTAGCCTCTGTGTTACACCATCTCTCGGACCCCAACAAGAAGTCGTGAAGGACCAATAGAAGCCAGTCCTGTACAGTTTTCTTTCATACCACAACATCGTGTCATATATTGAATATCTCCGCTTTTTCCAACCAGTCCCAGCGTCGGAAAATAATGCACAACATGGAATTCTCTGAGACGACATTCGTAGAACATAATCAAGTCACCGAAGTCGACGTTTCAAGATAGTGACAACAATTGAATTATCGTCGCTGTGCCCGAACACACGATGCCGAACCTCTGCATTACTAACATGGTATTGCCACTGGATGTCAGCAATTTTCGGAGACAACAATCAACAGACAGAAAGTCGTCTAACATCCTCAACTCTGAGAGACCAGGTTTCACAAGCATATTATTACAACCCAGCTATTCTTATTGCTTAGTATTCTTTGGACATTTTATTCACTCGACAAGTCCTCAAATCAGAACACTGTTGAGCAAGAACGTAATTATATTCTAAATAAACACAAAAGGATCGGGGTAAGAATAACAATTAAGAAAAATGTCAGTATATTTATAATTTCACACAAGATTCTAGAGTCTTCTCCAAGAATCCGTTAGCGCTGACAGGCTGAGAAATGATCGATCATCCTGCCCCAACGCAATACTACACGGAACATGCTTTAATCCAACATAAATTCCACTAACAGATAACCAATGAAGAATAAGAATGACAGAGTCATACCATAAATGTGAATTACACATATATTATAGAGACAGATATAGATGAAAAATTACCTGTTTGTCGATACATAAGGATTATCCACTAGCGGAGTTGAGCATTTCTGTCCAACCGTATCTGAATTCCCCAAATGCGAACCATTTTCAAGAAATGAACAAATCGGTAATGGACGCTGAATTGAACAATGCAGTTTTGGATTGTCAAGGAATCGTTCTCTATTAGTTTCTAATGTTAATTTATCAAAAAAATATGAACACATGCTTAAGAAACATTATATGAACAATTGAAATACGCTACTTTATTATACAAAAAATTATTTTTAGAAAAACCAATCTTGTTTGTATGGATTTTGGATAATTTAATATATATATATATATATATATATATATATATATATATATATATATATATATATATATATATATATAAATCACCAAAAGAAGCACTATAGATTTGTCTTTACTTATATGTCTCTCAGTCAGTAACAACGTAGAACTTCGTACTTACGTACATCAGTTCGACTTGCCATACCACATTAGCACAGAGATGCAGTTGTCGATTCAAATTCCGTAGTGGTGTTGGTAGTAAGACTATAAGCAGTAATCGGAAAGATCAGGGTTTGAAGATGTATCTCTTTGATACTCCTTTCAGTGACAAACACTGCCACAGAGCCTCACGATCAACAGAGTCAAATGCCGCTTTAAGGTCGATAAATACTACGATTCAATGAGTCTGAATGTGTGTCTATGTCCTAGGATCTGGCGTAGTGTGAATATCTGGTACTGTGACTTGAATCTAGGCTATCCTGAGAGGTAATCACACTGATACAACTATGCTAAATAGATTGCTAATGAACTACATAAATAGCTACTAATTAATACGGTTTTTTTGTCAAACGAAGATTGATATTATCTATGATAATGTTATAACAATCTACAGATCAATATCTGCTCACTAAATGTTCCAGACTAATATGTTGATAACTCGAAGTTTGTGACTTCACTTAAATAATTTTATACATAGAAACTCTCAAAGTAAAGCTACCATTATTTGTAACAATATAAAGTGATTACTGAAACAATATTTAAAATATTAAGACGACTGAGAATCAAAATGTTTAGAATCATAATTCGACGAATTATTTATTCTTTGTAGTCATGATGTTCTGGTAAGTTGATTCATTGTCACAATAGTGAGACTTACGATGAAATATTGGAGCAACACAGTCGCTAGTTGGTCCCAGCATTTGTTGATCAATGAGCAGAAATGGAACATGTGACCTCTTGCTTACAGCTTGAAAAACCAAATTCCCATGTTCTACGAACAAACACCCGTTAATATGACAACCTTCAAGTTCTGTATACTGAACTAAACTTGAATTACGAATATCCATAGTAGAAAAAAAATCCTTTAATGTGGATTGGTTTTTTGTGGTGTCAGAATGTCGAAGCAACGTTGCGACGTGTGACCGTGTTGGGGCGCAGGAACGCTTTGGTAATGTGATCAGTGGAGATCCTACTGATTCAAAATTACCTTCAGTTTCAGCACAGTGTGATTGAGATGCAGACAAAGCTGTGAAGTCGCCATGTATACGGATCTCTTTCATCTGATTTGAATACAATCTTCCCAGCCAAATACCACAGAGCTCAGCAGGATGATGATCTTCCAAACGCGACGTGTGAATATCTTTTGTACAAACATCATTGTAAGCAGACCCACAAAAACGACAATGACGAGCTTCTGAATTCTTCTGAAGAACAGAATAACCGCCTGGGGTATCTATTAGTGAATTTATAGCACCCATTAACAATTGTCTAGGAGGAAATCAAAGGAAATAATAGATATAGTAGGACGTTACGTGAAGTACGAAATTTAACTGGATTTCACTACTTAAGGCACGAACGTGCAGTATCTAGTACTATGTTACGCCCACACGAGTTATTCTAGCTTTCGGGCAGACCAATTAACTTATTCTTCTCAAGTTACTGACAATGCCATATTTTCACCATGTCAATTATTCACCTATATACCTCGACTTTTTATGTGTATGTGTATCGCTTACCCTATTCATGTATATTAAGCCTATTTTTGCCTGGCTATAAATAGTGAGTCACGCCTAAGCAAATGGAGTTGGAACACTTCTCCGTCTCGCTTTGCCGCTTTCCATTTCTGTGTTTACCTGAGTAAACGAAAGCCTGAAATAAACTAATCCAACAACCCATATTTAGCTTCTCATTATGGTCGTTACACAAGCGGGGTTAACACAGGTGTAGTATACGGGATTAAACGGGAAATTTATATTCACGGTATATGCAATCGCACTGTGCAAATTAGAGCCGGATCAACACGAACCACCAATTTAGTGGTCCGTGAAGATCTAGATAAGAACAATGATTAATGAAGCCTATACTTTGTCATGGTGACAAAAAAGATAGAAATAGAGATCACTTTCGACTCCACTATACGATTTTTCTAGCGTTACCCAAAGATTCATTACAAAGAGAAAAATGTATACTATTTCTTCCCAGATTGGAAAAGGAATTTGCGAATACCATATTTACAGATACTGAGTGCTGAAAACTAGGCGCGATTGGTACAGTTTGTGTGCCACAACTTAATGATATCTGCTGAATGGTGAATATTGTAATACTTCTATAGATAGAAATATCAACTGTTTCGAATACTTTTATAAGAGCAGTTACTGAAATGCTAGTGTAAGTGGACTTCAAAATCAGACTAAAATGGACCGGCTGGTTCGATAAAACCGTAGCAAGGCAATCAATATTTTTACATGTGCCATTTATCCACAAGGCTTGTAAAATGCTAGGTTCTATAAGTTTTTTTACCAAATGATTGTAAACCATGATTCCGTTCAATCTACTATGCATTACATGTGTGAAAAAATGGCATTTATTGGTCCCTTAAACATGTGACGGTCTTAGTGTTTAGGGAAGGGTGAAAATGTGATTGATGTACCTACAATCTGAGTATAAAACCTGTCTTCTGCTAGTCAGCTTTTCACTAGTTTTGTATGGTTCGGTCACTATGGCACCACTCAATATTTGAGATGTAAGATATACTCCAATTCCTGAAAAAGCTATGTACACATTTTTAGACTGAAATACCATCAAGCGAGTAAGACTATTTTTTCAGTTTGTTAAGTCTTTCGTTTTCCGGCCCAACTACCCTTATTGGTTGATATTATTCAGACACTACTTCACTCGACAAGTCCTCAAATCAGAACACAGCTTGGAAAGGCATTTAATTATATTCTAAATAAACACGGTAGGATTGGAGTAAGAATCACAATAAGCAAAACGTTAGTAAATTTATATTTTTATGCAAGACTCTAGAACAATCCCGATGTATTTACCGTAGCTGTGTGACTGAAAATGGGTTAGTATCCCCCCAACACAATTCATCATGAAACATGCTTAAATCCAAATTATGTCTTGCTAATGCTCTCAGAACAATTTGAATGGCATCCAATTAGAGAAACTACAACCCTATGTGAAGAGCAAGGAGGTTAGAGTTAAGCAGGACCGAAAATTCTCCAGTCCTAATTTCACCAGTTACTCAAATGCAAATAAAAGAGTTTAATGGTCTGAATTAACTGTGTCACGTGTTCAGTCAGTCAGTTACAATTTAGGACCAGGCAAATTATATGCATCAGTCCAAGTTGCCATACCGCATTAGCATAACAAAATGAACAACAAATTTATAGAAGTAGTTAATTCAGTAGTGGTAATATGCAAAAGAAAGATTACATATAATGATATAGTATAGGAACAAAGAATTAGTTGGTAGAAAGAAAGATATGAAGTGATTTTAATCTCATAGTTTAGAGAAAGACAGAGAGTGTATACACCGACGCCATTGTGATCGATTCTGAGTCATGTCACCAAGAGTCTCCAACCATTGGTTACGATAGTCACGCGAACCTCAACCAAGTAGTCTACATCTACCAACAGGGCTAAAACTAGAAGTTAGTGACTTCAAACACTGATGCCACGTTTTGGTTTGGCCGCCTCTAACTTTCTTTCAATTATCCCCAACACCGGTTAGCATTGCGCGTCGTGGTAATCGGTGTTCAGGCATATTATTATTTATTTATTTTAACACATAGGTATTGGTACAAGGAGGCACCAAATACATATGCGCCACACGAATCTCGATTGATCTGTGTGAGGGCTGTGATACTGCCCGAGTGCCTGAACCGAAGCAGGTGGTTTTCTTAGGGGGCCACACCCCGAGCATTCGACTCAGAGGTCTGATCCACAAGGCAGTGGAGCATCGTGAGGAGATGCAGTCCCATGGTAGCCGGTGACCAACGATTGGTTCATACGCCATTTGTTCCCATGTGCACCATTGATTTGGGATCCGGTTAAAGCGCCGGAAATTCGCTTTTCGTCCTCTCATTTTTGTAAACAACACCCCCGCCACGAGAAGGCAGTGAGTAGGATTTCCCTGTCAGAGGCTATCTACGCGTGGCCATGTGAGAGCATTTCGAGAGGGAGAGCGGACTCTCTCCTCTCTCGGCCGTACCAGGGCATACGCAACACGTGGCCCAACCATCTCAGTCGATGAAGATTCACAATCTCGTCAACTGACTTACCATCACTCCCTGATACCCCGCGTCTAACATTACTTTTACTTACACGGTGATCCCAACAAATGCGAGCAATATATCCAAAATACCTGTGGTCAAATACTAGTAGCTTACGAATATCTGCTATTAATGGCCACGTTCCGTCTACGTACAAGCTATAAGCATGGAAAATAAACGTGATTTCGTTTTATAAACAATTGAAGAAATCAGTTTTGTGATTTAAGATCTATTCCCGAATCCATTTTTGTGATACAATCCTTGCTATCATTCTATAGACATGCATTTTCTACATAACTATATATACGAATGTACAGCTTAAGTAAATAATTTCGTCGGAAAGAAAATTCTCTTCGCTGAATTCTCTCTTTCTTATTTAATTAAGATTTGATTGTCAGGTCTAATTTTTGACCATAATACCAAAAATTAGGCAGATTTCGGCATCAATTAAAGTTCATACAACAAATCGCAGAGATGATATTATCGAGATGAATACCAAATAGTAGTAACGTCCGTAGTAGCAAACAGCGACCAGATATTGGAAATCACTTGGAAAGGAATTAATTCACATTTCCCTATTATATAACGCATGTTGAATTCGATGCCTAGTTATACCAATATTTGTGTTTAAGTAAACTTAAGAAATAAAATGAATAAAATAATTTTGATACAAAGGACCTAAGAGAAAGCGAAGACTGAATACATCTTAGCTACTGTGAATAACATTGAACCACGTCATTCAACTGTGAAGGTCCCCATCGAGCGGACGCCTACTAAGCTGTCTGAACTAACCAACAGTATCCAGACCAAATTAGTGAAATTACAGACTGACGTCACATTCTCATTTGGTGTCCCTAAATTTTTTCCATTCACTTTTTGTGTCAGTTAAAATCTAACATTTAGGTATATGTAATAAATGTTTAGACCACCTTGGTCGAGACTCACTATCTTATCAATTGATTCCCAATTCTAGCCTCGTAATATGCGCCTAGCCTCAACAGTCCACCCTCAGTAGTTCCACGATACGAAATGATTTGGAGACACGTTAGCATACCAGTAATATATGGATGCTTTTTATTTTAAACAGCCACAAATTTAGAAAGTAAACCAGTAAATAGCATACTGGCACCTTCTGCGGATAGACATTTCACTATTGGAGTAACGATAGTAACGCAGAACCTTACAAAGATTTCGGTCTCGCAAGCCTTTTAGGTTAGAATGTCTGAACTTTTTATTTAAATAAGTGGAATCACTTGTAGATTACTTGCGCTAGAAATTTTGTCGGCGCCTCCACTCATAACTCGACTTCCAAAGTCATAAAATTAAGCATTGCTCTACAAACCCTATTCTCCAAGTACAACTACACTTATTACATTCGGCACAACTCAATTTCTTACATAAGCACGTTTCTAGTGGGAGCACTCTTTTCTCACAACTGCGTAAGAGCTGTATCATGCAATTACCACAAAACGAGGAGTGCAGCTGATAAGTCCTGTTCAAACTTGACAGCTATCAACAGAATTTCTGGGATTGCAAACTGTCTGGATTCCAGTTTATTTACGAGTGAAACATATTTTTATTTTATGTCTGAAGATTAATATTCAGTAGAGGCTGAACCAAAAGTGAGTAGAAATCCCGTAAACATTGTGCTCAGTCAACCATCCACAATTGCTTGCCAACAATGAGGAACCACAGTCCCTAGACATGAGTGGGTACTAGTCATCGAGTAAAGTACAAGAGGGAAGGTGACCCGAGTTTCTTCCGCAAGGTCACCCATACGGTACGTACCTTATAGTGATGTACGATCCCACTGGAATGTACTTGATTCAAACTATCTGGAACATTTGGCCATACTAGTAAAAATTACGAATGAGACAATAAATTTCAAAATATCAACACGTTACAAAGATTGATATAAACACTTACCGACGGTCGTAATGACCGATCAAGTTGCCCTAATTTGAAAAAGACGGGTGTGGAGAATGTTGGGATACAACTAATTATAACGAATATCATTTCAGTCGATGACTTGAAAACTCAAGAATACCTGTTGTATGTCTTGTTTCGCTGGTGTTCTTATGTAATGATATCTACTTGTGCTTAATTGTGCACATCATTTTAATTACGAAATATTATCAGTGTCCGTGATTCAAATGGCTGTGGAAAGGATCGAAGCAGTGCCTTTAGTTACGTACCTAGGTGTGACTTTCAAGTTAGCTGAATTTTTGCGGCATTTTCATCTAACTCGAGAATATCCCCAATAAACTGACAATTAACACCCGCCTTGATGATTAACAAGTTCTTACGAGTATATTGAGTTTCGTCATCCAGAACTCCTGGGAAGTTGCCTGAAATGCCTTGGCCGTCAAAAAGTCTGGTAATTCGGTACTACTAACCAGTAGAAATTGTGAGCATACTCAATTCCGTTGTGATTTGCACCAAACTCGAGACAATGCTCCCAAGGTTTGTTCGATGACAGAATATTGTAGTGTCGGTTATGATGTTAACCCACATACTTTATTCTAGCTTTCAGACAAGCCAATCTATTTATTCTAGTTGAGTCACTTATTAGCCTTGTTAATTATTCACTTATCAATTTTGACTGTTTTTTTGTGAGTGTGTGTGTGCATACTTCTTATCCTAATCACCACATGTCTGTAGCCTATTTTCGTGTGACTATAAATACTGATTAACGCTTGACCAAATGGAGTTGGCTCACACGCCTGTTCCACTGCGCGTCATTTTACTTCGCTCTATTCCATTTGCTTCATATACAAAATGAGTGTATTCCCAAGTCCATTCTCGTTATTTGTCTTATTTAATTGCGTTAATTACTCAACGCAGGTTAAATCAATAAGGATATACGAGAATGGTCAGGAAATATACTTCGACAGCAAACATTCCTACGATTCGATTGGCGTCAGACCCCGGGCCACTTATGTAGGGAGCCCGTCGACGACGAAACTAAATCAGCAAGCTACGTGGATGAAGACACTTCTGAACATTGTATTATTTTATCGACACCTAATCGTCATGTCAACTTTTCTCGCTGATCCATCTGGTAGACCGTTCCATTATGATTCAAATTATCATCATATACTCAATATTACATTATTGTCATATCATGGCCGAATGTGGAATTTTTGTTTTCGTTCGTGCTGACATTTGCGCAATTGCATCACTCAAGCATCAAACTATAATTTTATGAACATTCAACTCACTGGGCTATTTTTATTTTTAAACAACGTAGAATTTTCCCGCTCTAAGTGAGTTCGCACTATTTTTACCATGTAATTTTGACTTAATATTGCTCCCATTCACTTTGTCGAGTTCATTTTTCATGCTATCATACCACTCATCTTCAATTTCGATATTGCTCCCTATTATGTCCGTCGATGCCTCCAAATCTACTAGCTGATTAGTAACGATTACGTTCATCTTATCTATTCGTCCACATGTATAACTGCGTGCCGCATCATGCATTACCCAATAACATTATTCGACTACTGCAAATACTATTCTATTCCCATCGTACTGTATACCAGAATATAGAGTTTAGTGCTAATCTCTCAAAGACACACTCTTGTTCGTCACATACAAGTCAGTCTCACCCGCTGCCATCGATAATCATATGTATTGGAATGTTTCTCATGCCTTAGTATGGTTTCGTAACAAACGGGGTCAAGCGCATCTCCCTTAAACTATACAAATCACTCGGGGCGTTAGGATCAAAAAGGAACACGAATCTACGTATTTCGTCTCCTCAGTCACTATTCTCTTCTTCTAGTCATCCTACGAATATATATTTGATGATAACTCGATGCATCTGTCATAACGCAAACGACAAAGTATACAGACTTCACACTTTATGATTATTATCAATTGCGGCACGGTAAAGAATATCAATCGTCGATGCAGTTATCATTTCACGACTTCACTATTTTTATCCTACGAACGGTAACTCTAAGTATTTAAATTCGAATCCACTCATCGCTAATCAACGCTACTTACTATACTGCGGCTCATCGGAACATGTTCATATTTTACTATGTCGGCATCACAGACCAATTTCTATCATATTCCACGCTACTTGTTTTCACGATTTATTTCACTGTCATTCAACAAACAATTTATTACTGTTTACACGATATTTGAAACCGATCATACAAACGCGTTATTTCATCGTTCGGACAGTCACAACAATAATGCAGGTTAAATTTTTCCATGCTTATTAATCAACTCATAGTTGCAAGCAAACATTTCCATTTTCTTCAGCGTCTTTACGATATTCACGAATTGTTTTAAATAAGCATGATGGTTTCGTATGAAACACTTACACCTCAAGAGACACTACTTTATCGGATGTAGTACTTTTTTTTCGCTACTTAATGTTAACGTTAACCACATACTTCAGTGTTATTTTTGAAAACAGACATTATTTTCTGCATACCTCGTAGACAACATTGATTTCTATTTTGTTTTGCATTCTGTTTGCATCATCTCAGGATTTCAGTACGGCTTGTGGCCTACAACTGTGAAAACGTTTTACTACTTATACGGAGCATTTAGTGTTGTTGAGCGATTTTTATTCTTTTCATACATTTTTGCAAATCAAGATTTGATTCGCTATTAAAAGCTACTACTTAGATGTTCCGATTTGTTACAAAATTTTTAGTTTGGATTTCTTCAGTAGTTGGCCACGATAATAGTTTTGTCCAGAAGGTTGCCCAAATGTAGCATGGTGTCGAGTTGAGCTTGACTATGAACACCGCTACAAGACTACGTGCCAATAGACCAATAAAATCCCGGTAGGCCAAAATATCAGAAGGCAGATGATTGTAGTAGTCGTATATATTTGTTGGCAATCTCGTGGTATCGAAAGAATACCGAGATCGTGCCAAAGGAGTACAAGCGTGGTTACTGAGCGTAACCGGATTCGTACAAGTTCGAAGTCAACGGGAGAGTAAGTATAATGGCTGTCATTAGCACAGTTAAACAAACGAGCACAGTAAAACAGTCACTGGTACAATTGGTTATAATAATAATTGTTTTCATCGAACCAATCGCGTTCTGTTGACAAAAGTAGGTCACTACAGGAGCCCCCCGCTAGAAAGGGTTTACACTTTCGATAGTTAGCGGTTTGATTCGTGGGACTGATCGGCAGATGTGCGGTTGTAGGACGAAGGAAATTGGCGGAACAGGAAGTGATCGTTGATCCTCGAGTTGCCAACGAAGGTCTTTTGCGCAGAACGGTACCAGAAGTGTGCTGTATTTGTTGGTCGAGTTAGCATACCACACCAGAGTGGTTTGTATCCAGAATCTGAAGATTGAGTTCGTAGGGATGTGGACCAGAAAACGCTGCAGACGTAGGACGAAACCACGTTGAGCCAAGAAACCGGAAGCGACCATAAAGACCAAGCGTATGCCAGGCGAATTCGAAACCAGATAATCGACTGAGTGCGTTGACTAGAGCGTGGGTGGCCAAACCAGCTTTCGCCAAAGTTGACTGAAGTCGACGTTATCAAATGGGCGATGGTCGGAGGCGTGGGCTCAGGATACAAAAAAAATCAAAAAAAGAAAAGTGTAGCATGCGTGTAGTATAGGAATAATCCTACACCGTATCCATTATTGACTGTGCGTTTAGTCGCGAAAGCGTACGGGTAATCGTACTCGGCGACCGGAACGTGAGACGGTAGTCTCGTTCGTACTTCGTGAGCCTGAGATCTCATCCGAGGTCAAGGGCGGCGTGGTCTGCCGATCTGGACGTGAGACGGAAGTCTCGTCCGTAGATGGTGCAGATGACGCGTGCTGTTGACCGGGACGTGAGAACGAGGTCTCTGATGTATCTAGCGTGGGATCCGAGGTAGATGTAGAGATCCCGCTAGAAGGTTTGATAGGTCTAGCATTGAGTCTCAAGTTATCGGGTAGGGCACTGTCATCGACGTGTGCTGGTTTGAGACGATCAATGCTGACGATCTCGACGCGGCCGTGTCGATAAACCTTGAAGGTCTTTTCGTGACGACAGATCACGTGAAAAGGGCCTTCGTAAGGCTGTTGTAGAGGTTTGCGTACCGAATCTACTCGTATGAAAACATGTGAACAGGTAGATAACTCTCGAGGGAGAGCAACCTGTCGATGTTGTATTCGAGTTGACACCGGAGACAGCGTTCGCATAAATGCAGACAGTCGATGGACGTAGTCTGATTTACCGAAATCATTACTGCTCCGTGGTGTGAAGAATTCCCCAGGCAGACGCAATGTCGTGCCGTATACAAGTTCAGCGGCGGAACATTGGATATCTGCCTTTAAACTCGTTCTGATGCCTAAGAGAACGAGCGGTAAGGTTTCGTACCAATTGTCGTTTTCGTGTGCTCGAAGAGCACTTTTAAGTTGGCGATGAAACCGTTCGACTAAACCATTTGATGCTGGATGGTAGGCGGTAGTGCGTATGCGTTCCGTACCAAGCAGCCTGGTCAGTGAGGAGAATAATGCGGACTCAAATTGTTGTCCTCGGTCAGTCGTGACAGTCGAGGGACAACCGTACAATGCTATCCATCGTTCTATGAAGCGGTGAGCAACTGTCTCCGCCGTGATAGACGTGATGGGAATAGCTTCGGGCCATCTTGTAAAACGGTCAATGCACGTGAGTATTTGATCATACCCATGCGATGGTGGCAATGGTCCTACAATGTCTATATGAACGTGATCAAAGCGAGCATCAGGCGTAGCGAACGTGCCAATGGGGGCAGCTACGTGCCTGTGCACTTTTGATCGTTGACACTGTAAGCATTGCTTTACCCACATACGAACATCTTTATTCATGGACGGCCAGACATATCGTGCAGCGATGAGGCGTAATGTGGCTGCGATACCTGGATGAGACAATCCATGAAGGGCATCGAAGACGAGACGGCGATAGGTAGAGGGTACAATGGGTCGAGGAAAACCGGTAGACGTATCACATAGGATAGTACCTG